GATGTGCGAAACAAGCTCTTGTCTAAAAAACCACAAAATCATTTTACTGCGTGTTTAGTCTGATTGACGTTCTTGTTTGCTAATTAAGCTGAATGCTGGTAGTAGAAAAATCTTGGTTTTTAGGTCGATGAACAGACGCTGCAGTTGATATTTTCCAGAATTGGAAGCATAAATGCCTTCTTTTACCCTCCTGGTGCTGGCTTTGCAGCTGTAAGATTCAAAGACGTGATAGCCGAAAAGGTCTTCTCTCGCGTGCAGCAGGAGTTCGCGCCAATCGGTAGGTGTTAATTCGCTGTACTCTTCTTAAGCGTCTGACCCGAATTCAAATGCTCAGGTGTAACCGTGCAACTTGCCAAGGATGGCGAGGTGGAGAGACTGATCCAGTCGTTTGCCAACCAGCGACAACCACAGCAACAACAGCCTAGCAGCGGTTACGGGCACGCGGCGGCGGCACACGTGTCGCATAACATGATGTGGGAGTTGCCGCCCCCGCATAGCGGCCAGTGGCCAGGAAACAGCGGGCCTCCCCCTCCTCCGTTTACCGGACCTCCAGGCATTCCTCTTGCTGACCCTATCGCTTTAATGCATCATGGAGTCGGCCCGATTTTTAACGATGGATTGTACAGTACTGATCGTCAACCGACATTCTCATGATTCTCTCAGAACGCAGCATACCTGTTGTAAATTTGATTGTGATGTTTGGCTGTCATTAGCGTCATTTGTATTCAGGTAGGCTTTACCAAAGCACTTTTTTAGTCATTTACGGTGGAAAGCAGGCAGAAAACGACATTTGCGTGCTTTCGAGTTTTTGAAACGTTTGTTGTTGATCAGTTTTGTTTATGTTATAATGTATTATGTATGTATTCGATCTATATATGCCGCCGCAGCGTACCATTGTGATTATACATATATATCTGGCAGCCTTAACGGACAGCTAGGCCCAGCAAAACGGAGTTTTATGTAGTGTATGTGTTCGTGTATGTACGACATTTAAGTTGTACTGTTTAAGTTCTTTGTCGGTTGGGATTTGAACACTTGGTTAATTATTAATTGACTGACACTGAATACTATGTCGCTTTTATGATTTGTCTGTTGCGTTGTTATCGTCATCTGGCAGAGCTTAAACAGCATAGTAACGTACATTTATTGTGTGACAATTAGAAATTGTACTTCAGATTAGTATTAGTCGGCTTTTACTGATACACCAAAAGTTATTTTTTTCGCAAGTGGTTATGCTCATCAGTGATGAGCATCCACGTTTCGTACTGTCCTCCAAACCGTTTGCCACTACGGAAGCATCGTATTGAAAATGAAAATTTTCTCTATCTTTTTCACCGGACCAGTTGGTAATGCAGTCTCAATTCATCCGACAAGCTATTTCAGTTCGGTGGTAGTCGGTACATGCTTTTTTGGCTTTAAATGGATACTTTGCTGTTGCCATCTATCTGGACGAAATCCATGTTGCTTCGACAGCGAATACGGCTACTTTTGAAATGATCATTGCTTTCCTTGGGACGGATTGTTTTTTCCATGTGTGATACAGTGTGCACAGTTCAGTACACCGGCCAATGTTCTCATCATTCGACATTTCTGAAGTAGTTGACATGATCTATCTCATGCACCGTAATACATTCTTATGGCATCTTCGAATAGGCAGTCATAGCAAGCACCTTCGCATTCTCCTTGTTGATATGTAGTCGCAGTAATCAGCATCGTTGTACACTAAAGTGAGTGTAATTAAATGTGCGGTGGCGCAGGAGCATGCTGTATGTATTGGAAATCTTATGTCCTATAGCAGTATCGCTTGGTATTTCGAGCTACTCGTTTATCTGATGGTCGGTCGTTTGGTTGTGGTTATCACAGTTTTCCGTGGTGATAAACGTATTTATTTATGTTGGTACTCGACAAAACCCACATGAAATTGAATCGATGCAACTTATTGTTCGGCTTGGGTACGGGCTTAGTGTAAGGATGTCTTTTAGGAAATCGGCAAATAATTTCGGACCCTGCCGTATTCTACGAATGTACATACGGGGAACAGTACAACGGACTGCAGCTTCTCGGCGAGTTGTGGTTGCCAGACCAGGGTAACTCATTCTTAAATTCAGTTATTTACTGTGCGTAGTGTACAAGTTTGAGAATAGTACGTATCTTGTAATGCGCTGCAGTTCGAGATGTTTTTGACTTCATTATCAAAAATTCTGTCTGTACCAATGGACACGAACTGCAGAATTTTTTATTTCTGCGACAGGTTTTTTGGTAAACACGGTTGAACCCCCCCTGTGGATGTGATTAACTTATTGAACAGCGTCCGACTGCAAGAACGTCAAAAAACTACATTCTTGGGTTGTGTACAGCTAATATGATAAGTGCTATAGCTCATAGTTTGACCACGATATGCTTCCTTTAATGTCTGAGCTCAAGAGATGATGGACAATGAAAAATCATTAAGAGCCAGTCTGCTTGATGTATGTCAAAAAGTAGTCGCCTGTTGCATTTCGTTATATGCATATGCTTGTTTGCTGTTATTGTATTTGCGTAAACCCATTTATCCCTTCAAAGTGATGGTAACAGCATGGTTATGTTACCGTGGTTTGGTCTCAGTTTACTACTAAACCCAGTCGAATTCAACAGTTTTATTTCATCTGCGAAGTGCTGTCACCAATCATCGTCATTGTATCAATCAGTATCGCTGGGCTTTTACTTATCATCGTCCTTATTCGTCTTAATCACCTCGATTGTACTTTTCCATGACGGTGAATAGGCGATTAGCGCTGTACTTCCCTCTTTTCGTCCGTCGAAGATACCGTGAGACGTTTTTTGCTTATTATCCAACATCGATCTTTGCTTCTTATCATTGACGAACATACGATATGGTTTCGACCGCATCCATTCGAATGGTCCTCCAGCAGGAGCATCCTCGACGTTTCTACTTTTGTGCTACCGCTTGGCCCATCTTTTGCCTTGCCCATACCGCGAGCTGATGTAACAGCTGCTTGCATGCTTTATATGAAATCGATCATTTAATTCTATATATACTTCTGTATCTTCTATAAATCATTTTGTCAGAAATAGAGAAGATTGGCTAAGCATCGATGCGTTCATGGCACTATATGCACGGACTAATCTAGAAAGTGTACATCCCGCAGAAAGGAGGTTTAAAGAACGGACGAAACAGACAGACTGACAGCAGTAAGAGATGACACAGTTCCATTAGTCGGTCTATCCGAAGCTGCTATTTAATTTGAATCAAGCTCTATTTAAATCGTATGTTACAGCCGTACAGAAACATAAAATAACGTAAAAATTGTTTGTTTAGTTTCCGGTAG